ACCAGCGACGACGAATCACCGGAGGCACGACACTCGCGCGAACGACGCGCGACGATATCTAAACGACGAGGCTCGGCACTCTCTCGTTTCTTCGCACGAAAACGAAACAGAGTCGCCGGCATTTCGGCTCGCGCATTTGGATTCCCATCGTTGCTCCTGTTGCCGGTAAAAAGAAACAATGACACGAAATCCGGTGAGTGTTCGCCGTTGAATACGCACAGCGGAGCCCGTCGCGACGACAGGGGTCGTTGTCGGAGGAAATTTGAAAGTTCGAAGTGTGCCGTGCACGAAATCCAAACTCGGTGACCCAGAAACGACCTGCGAGCGGTAACTTTATCATCGGCAGACGAATCTCGCAACGGTGCCAAGAGAAAAAACCGATCCAGGGGGCCGAGGAATGCGAACGTTGTTCTTTCGACTCGGTACGTGAGTACGAGCCACTCTTGCGGTCTAGAAACGTACACCGCGACGAGACACCCGGCGACGGTTACGAAATTCGCGCCACGGAACCGGATCCTTCCGGCTAGAAGGGTTTGCGTAAGCTCCTCACACGGACCGTGTGTTTACCTCGAGAAGAGCACTTAGTTTTTTCAAACCGACCACCGAGCGTCGACTGAGAAGAAAAAAATAATCGAATTTCGAAGAAGAGGATCGAGGAGAGAGACAGGAGTCGAAGGGTCCCTGTCGACTGCTGGGTACCGAGTCTATCCCATGGTGTCGCGTCTCTATGATCCACTTTGTCCGCGGCGGAACACGCGGCAGCCGGCCGATAGCGTATCCCTGTCTATAAAGCTCGTGGTCGCGGCCCGCCGTGGAGTTGACGCACTGGCCACGATCGTTGCGCGATAACTCGTGTTTTTTGGAACGCACGCGGTCGTGTGTGTGGGACTCGGTCGCGTTTCGTGCTCGCGATTCACGTTGGATTTCGAACGGATCCCGGGACGAGTCGGGGAAACGTGCGTCGTTGGTGCGGTGAGGTAAAGCGACGGGATACAACACAGTGTTGAGTGACTACTCGAGACCACGCGGTGAAGATGGAGGAAACAGAGCCGAGTACCGCGCCGCGGTTCATCGTGTCCATGCTCGTCCTCATGACCACGTTATTCTTCGGCGTGATCGTCATCGTGATCGTTTACATCGTTAGCCGGTTGTCACGGTCCGGCCGAGCCACGGATTCACCGAAAAGTAAGCACCCTGCCATTGAACAAATTTCCACTATGTCCGTCGGGTATGCACATGTATAGGTTCCTGGAAAGTAATCACGCTTGCGTGCTCGCGAACTTCTCTCGCGCCGTCGAACCGCACGATCTTCTTTTATTCTCGTAATTTTTAGTTTTAGTTAGGCCGATTTAGGATGAACTGTGTTCACCGTGGATAGTCGGGTTCGGTTTGGGAAAATTAGTTTATAGTCTCATGGGACTCGTCGGTGGTAAAAATTCGTTGAATATCGTTGTTTATCGTTTGCAATCGATTTCCATGGGATTCGTTGACGCGAGAAAGGCTTTATGAATTTTTCATTAATCGTTGGCGAGTTTCTCATTCATGAATGTTAATTGGCTGGTCGTCGCGTGATGGGAAGCGTTCCTCGAGCACGTTGCTCGCGCGTCGCTGAAATATCTCCTGTGGAAATTGTACTGAAAATCGATCGCAGCCGAATCGAAACCGTTTCAACGCGGCTCGGCTCGGGTACACTGGGATTTTGAAGATGATGCGTTGCTTGATCTATGGTCCGGTTAATGCGCGAAGAATTGGCGGGAAATTACGGTTTCGCGTACGCTACTCTGCCGACTGCTCCTCGCGCACGGCCCGTTACCGGCCGGAAGAACAATTACAACGCTGACCATTCAAATTTATGCCTGTTTTAAGACCTTCTTATCGTTCATCGAATAACATTCGCGTTTTATTTATATTTCCAGGGTAATTTATGGTTGCAGGTTATTTTACTATCGTTTGTCAGATTCTATGAAAAATTATTTAAATTCTTTTATTAACCGAATAACATTCGCGTTTTATTTGCATTTCCACGGTAATTTATAATTGCAGGTAATTTTACTATCGTTTAGAGGATTCTATGAAAATTATTAAAATAATTTTATCATTATTGACAGCATCCCAATTATTCTGTTCACGTGCATCGAATATCTATTTAAAAATATCAGTCATTTTGGGGGCTTGGAATTGTACAATTTTTCTCGGTGACTATCATTTATCAGACTATGAAAAATGATTGAAATAATTTTATCAACATTGACAGCATGCCAGTTCAATTATTCTGGTCACGTGCATCGAACATTTATTTTAAAATATCAACGATTTCCGGGGCTTGGAGACATTATTGTGCAATTTGTCTCGGTGATCTGAAACGTGACGGTTGTTCTATGATCGTCGCGTGTCTTTGACGATCTCGCTCGAAATATAAAAGTAGCGCGTCGGTGGGACACGGATGATTTTGCGGTGCAGAGAAAAGAATAGACGAAAGGAAACGGTAGAGGGAGACGCGAGGTATGGGGTGAATCAAAGAAGACAAAGAGGGAAGCGCAGCTGCGTCAGCACGCAATATTTCGTGCCGGAATATACGTTCTTCATCCTACTTCATGTGCGAAATGGAAGCGAACCCCTTGCGTCCATATTTTTTTGTCTGAATTGCCGAGTCGTTGAAGTGCATTTGCCATGTCTGTTCAAGCTTGATCCATGCAACTATTTCATTGCTTATTCTCATTATTATAAATTAGTTGAAAGTTATTTGAACGATAAATAATTATCGATTATCATTATGTATAAATACTGAAAATAATGATTGCTATTAACCATCATTAATTATTATTAACACTAGAACTACCAGATGGCTCAAAATGACCCATTCCTAAATTCTTTCACAATCATTGAAAAGATTCTCTAGGAAGCTGTAAAAGAAATTGTTCTAGTAACGTACGAATTGAATAGGTCAATTGAAATTTCAATAGCATTCTTAGAATTCCAATAGACAGATTTGAAAGTTAATTTACTACTCGGTAGTGTTAACCCCTTTGCAATCGAGGCAATTTGGTTTGATACAAAATTGCAATGTTTCATGTAGAATATTAAAGTACATCTAACATAATTATTTATGAAGCGTTAAAATAAAATAGTTCAGTCTCTCGGTTTCCATATTCTTTATATCAATGTTACTTATAAAAACTAAATATAGCGAAAGAATTTTCAAGTGCAAAGGGTTAACAGTTGCAACAATAATAATCACGATTACCATCGGCAAGAATAATAAAATAACAATAATCCCGCGTTTCCGTCGGGCTGAGATATCGCTCGATCGAATCGCGAAGGCGACCGATCATGCGAGACGATCGCAAGATCATCGGAAATCCTTCAGCCGTCGGCGCAAGCGATCTTGAACCTGGGAACACGTTCGAATAGTTTCGCCACTGCGCGCGATTATCAAGCGTGTCGATCGCGAACGGAAAACGTGGCCGACGCTCGCTAAATCTTCGTCGCCATGACAATGAATTTTACCGTGCTACGAGAAACAAACTGTCTCGATGTCGCGGCGGGTAGTTTTCTGGTGATCGTTTACGCGTGTGCGTGAGATATGCATTCGTTTTCACGAGATGACGGAGGAGAGAGGCGCGCGCGCGCGCACTCGCTCAAAACGGGCACCCTCGTGTATAAATAAACCGACGCCGCGTGTGTATTTATACGCGCGTCTCGCGTGCGTACACGTGTACTTACGAGGAGAAACGCTCTCAGGGCCGTACACTGGACAAACACGCGGGAAGAATGGACAATCATGGGGACGCCTATACGGGGAACCCTCGAGGTCTTTCTACTAAACTGGTAGAAAGTGGTCAATCAAAATTATTGACGTGATCGGCGCAGGAAACGTTCGCTTGGAAAATAAAATTGCAATCGGATGATTGAGATTTAAGATGTAATTGTTTGGAATTTTATTTATTTATTAAGCTTGATATGGTTTTAATGAGAATTAGGAATATCGGTGTCTCTTCCATTGAATTCAAGAATATTGACGGTGGTTTATGATAATGAGAATTTTTTGAACCTCTAATTAATGAAATTAAAATTAGATGATTGAGGTTTAAGTAATTGTTCGCCTGCAATTGAATTTCTGAATTTATTAAGCTTGAGATGGTTTTAACGAGAATTAGGAAAATACTGGTGCCTCTTTAGAAAGGGAGATGTCCATTTATAGATGAATATTTTATTCATATCGAGACAGCTGCTTAATTTTTTTTTGTCATAAATAATTCTCTCAACGCGTGCTTAGTTTGTTCAATCCAATACTCGTTGTCAGGGTAGCATGCAAGGTACGAGGAAGTGACCGCACGTACTTTACGTTCGTCCTTAATTTTACACACGCATCCCATTAGAATACCGAACTTCATCGAATTCGAAATTAGGCGGCTGAAGGTGACTGGTGCTTCGCTAATTCACTTCCGCGAATGCGATATTTTATCCGGCTGCACTTGAATTATCACGGAAAGAATTTTATTCTAAAAATATACTTTCTAAAATCATAATACTCTAATGAGCCGTTTATTTAGAAAGCGGCTTAAGTCCATTTCTAAAAAAAATCCAATTAATCATTATCATTACAATCCTACATAATCTTTTTATTCTTTAATCTTTTTCAAGTGGATTTAAGTCACTTTCAAAATGAACGGTTCAAACATAAAATAATACTCAAACAAAAATTCTCACTAAGTTATAGTTATTTTCAGCAAACGTATGAAAAATATTCAGTATTCTGACATCAACATTGTTGTTAGAAATAATTTATTTTACGGTGCAATGTTGCAAATGCATGAGTTTCTGATAATTATTTATAAGCTTGCAATGTATGATATTCACAGCGTTGCGGTCGTTAAGGGTTGAACTCAACCCTTCGCACTTGAGAGGTCACTCTCACCACTTGATTTGATACAAAATTATGAACTTGAATATTTAATATTTTAAATTAAACCTTGTATTTGAAAAATTTCAATAAAATAGCTCTGTTGGCTAATTTATCTATGAATGTTAAATTAGTTTCAATGTCGACTATATCTCGTCGGAAAATGTTAACCTTTTGCACTCGAAAGTTTTTCACTAGAAATATTCAACACTCTTCGATATAATATAGACGATGCTTATTACGACTAATGTAAATAATTTAATCGATAAATTAAAGGACAAAACTATTATACTTTGATATTTATAATTTTACTGTATCAAACCAAGTGATGACTGAGGGTCACCTCTCGAGTGCAAAGGGTTAAAATACAGAAATATTTTCGATCTTCAGCGAAGTGATGCAGTATTTGGAGAATTATCGCAATTGCTGTCTCCGAGTTTCCGTTCAGGTCTAGCGGGCGATATAAATTTGTCGCAGTGCGCTACATTTTCCGGGCCAGTGCGGCAAAACACGTCCCTGAAAACTCGCGACACGCGCTGAGAACAGTGCACTGACCGCGGCCAATTATTTCTATTTGTTGATCGGTTTTGCTTTCTCCGTTGAAACCAAAGAAACAACCAGAAGAAACGCCGCGGACAATTATACAGAGACCAGACGTTGAACCACACTTCGCGGACAATTCATTCGCTGCCGTTGGATGTGCAATTATTTTAACCAGTTAAGTGTGGAATTTAGTTTGAAAAATCTACTTATTTCTAAAAGAATAGGAGTAATAGGAAATATTAAGATAGGGAAAGGGGTGGAATTTTTTGTCAAGATTAAACTGTTTACTTTATTCTAAAGAGATACAATTTTCGATCAAGATAAATTTCATCAGTAAATCACAGAACCTTTTATTACAATATTATATTTCGTTCTATGAAATCGTGCGGCGTTCAACGTGTTAAGATCATTTTCCCGCTGTTAAACCAGCAGAGTAATTCGGAATTATGACACTTCCATAATGGTTCTCTGCTAGAAGTTTTCTCGGACTGAACGCAAATTATAAATGTTATCAACATTTATTAACCATTCGGTTTTAATGCCTCGCCCGCAATTGCAGACGCTACGACATACAAACATCCGCAGTATGTTGACTCTTCACTCATTAAGCGGCGATCAAGCATTGTTTAATATTTTTACATTATCTCCATACAATTAGATTTCGTTCTATAAACGTTGCAAATATAATTCATACGAATATTTCTCACAATTCTCAGAAAGTTCCGAATTTTAACCGTTT